TTAAATAATTCAGAAGTCTACAGTGTCGAGATAAGCCTAAATTTAATGAAAATTCAAACCGTAACTTAGAAAGGTTTAGAGTTTAATGCTTGATTGCTTCAAAACTTCAAGTTATGCCATCATTTTACATGAGAAAATAGCCGAGTTTTAGCAACAACACACACTTTCAGTGTGATGTAGAAGACAATAAAAGTTTAACACAGACTGAAAGGAAGCAGAATGGTGCTACAACAGTGAAAACATCAGTTTGTTATTTCACCACATCAACAGCTAAATATTGTCAAGTCTCTCAGCAGATAAAGAAACAGGCTGAGAAGCTGTGTACAGCTTATCAAAAAGAAGTCTGTATTTGTTTCAAAATGTCACCTGATTACACCAAATGTAACCAAAGAAAATTTTTATTTCATTAGCTATTGATTTAACTGTTTGGTTTTGTCTTCTCAACCTCACCAGGCCTTCCATTAACATTATACTGCAGCTCAACTATACACTGAAGGTATCAAAGACCCCAAATCCACTTTTCATAAGCACCCTTAAAAAAAATCAGACTCAAAAACTAGGACATAACAGAATTTGCATTACTTGTGTAACTGCTGTTTGGCATCCACTGCACTTCTGCTTGTACAGCTTTTAAATGATTAGCACAGGTAAATAACGAGGTAAGCTTTCTGCAAATAACACCCTTGTTCTCTATACCCTGCTTGATTTCCAAGAATACCCATCCAGTATGGTGAATGATGCAGGTTCCTGTGGAGAAAAACCTGTATGCAGTCATACCTGAGCCACTGTACTCGTTGACATTTGAGACCTTTTTTTTGTATTTTAGGTTATTATACACAACAAATATTAAAGGACCATCCTTCTCATCACTGTAATTTCTCTCCCAAATTCTAAGTTTGCCCTTGAAAATATGCGAGCACTACAGATCTAACCAAAATTGTTATTAAAAAAAAAAAAAGTATAATTCAGGAACATCGAACAAAACCTTTTCCCTCCTTCCTTCTCAGAACATGCTAAACCATTTAGCCTGCAGTTCCCATGCAGCTTCAGTCACTTCTCAAGGAAACTGTTCAGTCCAGCTCAGCAGTTCAGTCCACTCCAATTCATTCCAGTTCAGCATAAGCACAGGTAAATGAATACCAAGTTTTATATAACGGAATACATTATCCAGACATTTATTGACAGGGTTTGTAAGGTGACTTACAAGCAGCCTGCACGCACCATAACCACTTTTGCAAAACTTGAGGATTGCATCACAGAAAAGTCTGGGTTGATGCCCCACACATATTATCGGTTAACATTTCCAATCACTCTTCCATAGAAGCCAAGCATTTACTCTTTTTGCATGATGCTTTTGGAATAAGAAGTTTCAATAACTTTAAAAACTTTTTTTCAGTTCGTAAATTCTCCTTTCACATTCCAGGTGAAAACTGGCAGTAAACCATATGAAAGTATGATGTTTTCCTAAAATTATTATTAATATTAAAAGAATAATATTGCTATCTTATTAAAATAGTCAAACTCAAACTGCTTCATTTTCACTTTCCTTTTTATAGAAGTTTTTGACATTAATCCTAATTTCTTCTTTCCAATGCAAGTGCTACCTTTTAAACTTCTGCCTTTACTTCCTTATTAGTTTTTAAACGTCTTATGGGTTCTTAGGCTGATTGTGGTGAATGACAATTGGCAATAAAAAGAATACCAATTCTCCCTACATTAATAATTAAAAGCAACCTCCTTCATTGTTTTCATTCAGACTTCCACAGTATGTCCTTAAAGATTTGTCTTCATCCCTATCCACCTCACAACTTCAGTCCAAAAGCCAGAATTACTAGGACTGGTTATTTAAATAAAAGTGTATTTTATATGTTAAATTGCTATCTGTTCAAAAATTTAAGGTTCAGCATCTGCTTTGATTTTATGCTTTCTTTGTGCTGTGTAAAAGTAGTATTTAAACATTAATTTATTTTGAGGTTTTCTTTGTGCCTCCCTCAAATGTCCTTTAGATAAGGTATTAAAAAAGCCTTTAAAGCCTTTGGAATTTAACCTCTCAAATATTCTCACTGTTTTAAAATATGCTCTGCTTTTAGATACTAGTATAATTAGCCATTCTTACAGTTAAATTTAATTCCTAATTTTACATAGCCATAGTTAGCAGTGTTACTCGATGGTCAAACCACTAGCTAATGCCAATTATTCCCATTGCTTACTACAGGTACGTGCAACCCTCAATCATAAATCAGACAAAGATTATCATAAATGCTTTAAGTACCAGAGAAAGCATTAACACACACAAATATTTAATCAGCACAGAACTCTAACAGCTAATGTTTAGATTTGCAGATGCACAGAAGAGCTTTAGTGAGATGTCAAACTTAAAACAGTGTTTATGATGAGAATAATGAAGTATAGTTTTCATTTCTTGGTGTTTCCTGTTGTATCTCCCATCCTCCTCCATTTACTAGAAGATAAATTGCAAAAGTTTTCTGAACAAATTACTTTTTTGAAAAAATAAGATGCTTATCTGTACTGTCAAGACATGTGCACGATTTGGTGGGTTTTTTCCTTATATATATATTTATTTCATCAAGAAAAGCTCAGTAATTAAAGAAGCTCTTCTCTCTCCTATGGCAGCTGTTTAACCTTTCTGATGCCTGTAAATATTTTAACAGTATCTATTGACCACATTTGGATTCAGGCATTAAGCTACAATGCTGCTCAACAGGCATCTGGCAAGCCTTTCTCCCGTTTCCATACTGCAGCACAAACATACTGCATATTTGAGTTGATTCTGCAATATTCCTTTATCAGGACACATGCTATCCCCGGATATGAACCAGATGACAAAGTTAAAAGTGCCATAACTCAGGCACCACACAACAGCCCAGTGTTTGTTAAATTCCCTCTTATATTAGTACATCAACACACAGAACCAGAAGCCTGTGTTTCTAGCTTTATGATAAATCATTCCATTTAAGAGACACTCGATTCTTTCATTTCAGTAAAAGTTTGATCTGAAATGCATTTGTCGGTACGTTCAGAACTGAATGATTCTCATTAGTTCTGTAAAGCACTAATCTACAAACCTGTGGACATGTAGGAATTCAACCTCAGGCTGGACACCAGTAAAACCCCAAATCCTACAGCAAAAGCATGGACAAACCTCAGACACTTCTTTATCTAAAAGTAATGGCTACATATATGTATTGCCAAATACATTACAGGATGATAAGAAAGAAAAATAATTTCTCCATAGCTTGCAAAATGTTATAGTTTTCTTACATCTCTCTCATTTAGATTTATCTGCTGCCTCATTTCAACTTCAAGTCTGCTTTCTCTGTGGCAGAGTCCCTGTTCTGTGTCTGAACCACCATCAGCACAGGGTCACCCTCGTCCATAATTAAGGAAGGTGACGGCTACTGTACTTTCAGAGACTAATGTCTCATGTACACACATCAGTTATTTAAGTGAAAAGTTCTGTATTTGTATATACCAGAATTCTGTTAGTTCTTGGACTATGCGAGACATCTCTTTAAATAGCAGACAGTAAATTCAGAACTGAAGACCAACTGTTCTTGTTTATCTATAGCCATTCTTTGTTCAGCATCTCAAAGACAGAACAAAGATATTTTCACCAACACATGGTCACAAGTGACTTGTGACATGCTCTTCTACAAGTTACACTCTCTCAGAATGCAGAGATTTATTTAAAACAATCTGCAGAAAAGATAGTGCACACAGCAGTTTAATAAATCTTCACCCACTAGTTTTGGCAGAGGCATGAATTTACATGACAGTGACTTATGAAAAACTACTTTTACTAAACATTTGGTTTGCTCAAGCATTCATCTAGCTGTAAGCTGAATACTTCTTTATCTAATACAACAAAGGCAATATCTAGTGATGTGATATGAACCACCGACAAATTAGCAATTGCACAAGAAGGAAGACAAGTGCAAGCTAAGTCAGGGTGAGATCATATTTGGGTTGCAAAGATCAGTGTTTCACACAGGGCTTCCAATGTAACGTAAAGATTACATTCTTGTTGAATTATATGCACCTCACCGCAACTAAACACAATTTGGCTAAAACCACGTTTCTTTGAGAAACACAGCCACAACATCATTTAGGTGAACAACTTCAGTTCAATCATGCTGCTTCATGCAGTGCTAGAATAGCCACGTCTAAAAGGTGATCTGATCATAAATGTTTTTTAGTTTACTTACACATACTCTCCAATTTCATATAGGGACAGAGGTTAAAAACCTCTTATAAAGCAAAAACTCATGTTACTTAATATAAGCTGATGAACCATCCCTTGCAATTTCATAATACTCTTCCGGAAGGTATACATTTGCTGTCACTTGCTGAACATCGCATTAAACGCCCCAATCTTTTGATGCAGGTGACCGAGGGATTAAAATGAACTATAAAATACTGCCTGGGAGGCAGTACTTTGTGAAACAGCAGTGAAGGGATGCTGACAATATGGCAGGACTCCTTTTGTCAGTGACAGCCAGTTAGTAGGTCAGCTTAGCAAGATTGTACCACCACACACTGAGAAAATTGGCATGCTCTTGCTCCAAGCCAACTTTCTTGACTATCAAGATCGCCCCCTTTTGATGTCAGTTTTGGCCCAACACACGGTGGCTGATGCTAACAGAATTCCCCCCAAAGAGCACATTGTGAAAGGATCCAAAGGCACATAAATTTATTCTCGCAATTCAAGGTCAAATTTATCTCAATTCTATGTAGTATGTTAGGATTAAGATACGGGAACAGAGAATTAATAGAAATTATTCGCTTTCACAGACTCTTCTCACAGCAGAGTACACATTAATTTAAATGACCTGTTTAGTCCTCACAGTGCAAACGTAAGTTTAACTCAAGCCAATTAAATGCACAGGTTTATACCCTAAAGCTTCAGCTTCTAAGCATTTGCATCGCAACGGTCTTCTGATGGTAGAGACAGCCACGTGATTACAGCAAAGCTAGCACTGCTAGCACACCACAGTTTGCAGCACTTCACTCACAGTGGTCTGCTCCTGACTAACACGGAAATCACGATTTCTCCCAAGACCACTTGTTTTCCCATTCAAGTCTTCTGATTCCTCTAAGGCAACCTATCAGAACCCCAAAAACAGGGAAAAATAACTCAAGTAACAGGACTTTAACCACTTTAGGACATTTTTAGGATAATGCATATAGTCAGATTTCATGGTTTTTTCTGCCCAGCTTTTGATCTAGTACTAGAAAAAAGTACCACATCTCTTTCTATGCTACTATATTAAACAAGAAGATCTCCAATATATACATATCCCTCACTATGCCAGAGAGAAAATTACCACATAAGTATTTCAATACAATCAGATTTTGTAAACACAAACACGAAATACAGCACAACATAAGAAAGCACATTTAAGACAACAGCTTATTCACAAGTCTGCTGCTCTTAACACAGCACGGGATGTAATTGTAAAGCTAATCATAACGTTCTGGTCTCTACTAATGCAGATAGCTGAGACACCTGCTAACACACAGAGTCCCTACTGTATTAATGACACTAAGACTGAATGTTCCCTCTTTCAAATGTGAAGCACAGGCTGGAAGCTGGCTGAAGAACAGACTCACAGTTCTCCCCTCAAACTATTACATCACCTACAAGATAAGGCAATGTTTAAACAAAATCAGGGCTTTACTGAAGACGAGAGTGTGAGGAAAAGCTCATAACCACTGTAGTACAATGAAAACTGAAGATTTCCTGAGATGCATATGGCAGCTAAGTGCCTGTATTTAGGCCTTTGAAACCCCTCCTGAAGGCAATTGGGGATTTTTTTCTTTATAGAGAAAAATTTCTTTTGGTACAAAAGGGTATCTGATCACTTTCTGAGTTAAATCAAAATATCAGAAATCCTGACATGCTTCATGTCTAAGAGCCTGAAATACCTGCCAGAACAACTGGAGGAGATGAAATACACATACTTCAAATCTTACAGGTAAGACAGAGGTTGAATCTCTTTAATTTGAATCTGCGCTAACAGTTACTTCCGAGGATTACAAGACACAAATTAATTTTGTACACTGATACACAATTAACATCTAAGAAAAGGTTAATCAACTAGTATTACATGCTGGTCTAAGGCTACAAGGCAGAACTGGTACAGATGAACATGAAAATGTCACAGACACACACGAAAGCATGTCCTCTTCCCAGACTACTCCAGTTCACCTAACTGAGCTCTTCTCCTGCTGTACACTTACGTTAGTAAAGCATTTTCAGGTATCTGCTGCATATGCACTTGTATAAGAAGTGTTTCATGTTCCTATGCAGGTTACTGAAGGCTTTGAACTGACAATCAGTATGCTTAATACCACCATTTTCTACCTAGCTACTGGAGAAAATTTTTCCTAGTTATCTCTATAGAAAGGACCTGTGTTACCTATTCTACATATAATTCAGTTATCTTAAAATGCACACATTCCTATCAGCTTACATCCACATCAGTGTTATTCAAGTGAATAACACCATTGTACATTAACAGAGTTGAACAGAACAAAAAAAACAATAAAACCATTTGAAACTGAAAATCGCCAAAAAACAAGCCAGCAAGTTGCATCCTTAACAATGCTTTCTTTGCAGAGAGTTTGACATCATCATTTTAAAAAAGGAAAAAAACAACAACAAAAAACTCGAGGCAGGAACAGCTCAGACTATTAACAATAAAATGCTGTGATACAACCCCAGTGACTCAAATCAAAACTTCACTAAATTTAATAAATTTTTAAATTGCTTCCTTGCAACACCAGAGGCATCATAAATCACGTGTGGCTACTACTTTCACTGGGCATCTTAAACACCAGATTGTAATCTGCAGCTTTGTAGCTACTGCCCTATAGGATAGCTTTTAGGGGAACAGAAGCAGGAAAAAAAAATCCAAAACCAAAGCCCAGCCTTAGATTAGAGATTGTCAGATGAAAAACAACTGAATACCAACTAAAAATGAACTTTTGCAGCCAATCAAACATAATCTTGAAAGAAAAAAAAAAAAGAAAAAGAAACCACTTCATATATGGCATCATCCAAAGACCACTTCTGCAGAGATCCTACTCACATGCTGCCGCCGGCTCAAATCTCCAATTCCTAAACCGCACAAGAGGCAATGAAAATAGAGAACTGCCCTCCTAATGTTATTTTGCACAAAAGTAATTGCTGCAACTGACACCTGATGCTGCCAGAGTTGTCAAGTGATCACAAAGAATGAGAGTCATGACCCAGGATAGATGGTAAGATGGTAACATGGCATTATCCATCACTTTAAAGCCACGAAAAGCCTTGCTGCTGTAGCCCAGGGTGCTATATTTAACATACTATCACGAAGGACCCGATTATCTAAAATAGGCAAGACAAAACAAGGCTACTTATTAGCAACAATCTAAAGCATCACACAAAAAATGAGCTTGGATTTCACTGTTTCGTTAGCTAACAAAGCTGTGAAAGCTAGAGCCACATATTTGCGACTTAGGGCACAGCAAATTCCCACCTTATTCTACTGTGACTCTCCAGAAGTTTTTGTAGTTTGGAGAAATTGCCTAGCTTTCCTTCCCTGGAAGTCATCCATAACAAATACATGACAGTGCAACATACAGGATAGGATACTACACTTCACTGCGCAGTCCCAGGCATAAAGAGACTTCTCCCTAAACCACTACATCCTGTCACTGGTGATTATTTATTACTACACCTTCCATTGTGGTAGATGCACCGAGAACAAAGTACAGCACACAGATGTTTTCAATACATGACTGAACAATCTCATTTACTTTAAGGCTTCACAACATTTTACATCCTAAGATCTAGCTTCTTCAGTTGCTCTGAACTTCACCAAACTTACTCTAAGACAAAACACGGTTACGCTAGATGCCTGCCTCAAGCAGAATGAGATACCATTTTAACCTGAACCAGCTGACACAGAAAGAGAAGGAAAAACCAGTTTTGTGTCTAGCACTTTTTCAAAAAGTAAAGATTCCTTTTCTGGAGTCACTCTAGTTGCCTACAGACTTTGAAAACAAGCTATCTTATATATATTTTAAAAAAACATATTTTCCTAGTTCAGAACAAGTCCTTATCAACATATGAATCCACCTAATTGTGCCCTTAATATAGGGATCTGGAATAAAAAAGGCCACCAAGTCATCGACAGCTCATGGAAGCTGAGTATACACTTTTTTTTTTTTTTTTTTAATAGTCTATCCTCCACCACCTGAGAGCTGACTAGACTGTGTACGCATCACTCCCATAAAGAAACTGAACATCATCTAAGTGATCTAAAGCACACATTTTGAACAGGACTCCTTTATCTACACAAACTTCCTGCTAGCATGCAGACAACATGGAGAGGGAAAGTATACAATCTGAAGGAAAGGTTTGAGCAAAGGGGAAGAAGGTATGACAGACAAATCCTATAAAGAACTAGGGAGGAAAAAGACAAAGACCGACTAGGCAAAGAAATTCAGAGCTTGGCTCATCTCTGCAGCCCTGTGTCTCCTAAAGCTGAGGAAAGCCTGGATTCTTGGAGTCTGTTCCAAGTGTCTTTGTTCTTCTCACATCGATGAACTCACTGGCAAAACATCCACCTCCTCCAGTGCTAGTCCATTTCCTACTGCCACTGGCATTACTACACTAGTCTAAAAGGCAAAGGTCTATGCAAACATGTTTCAACCCAACAGATCACCCACGCGGGTAGCAGTAAGCAGTCGTACCATGCCGTTATGTTTGCATTAGTTTTATTTTTAACTACACATAGAGCATTAGGGTTGCAAACTCATCCACACAAAAATTAAGAAAAGCTGCTATTAAGACTGCTTTGTGCAGCCTTCATCCATTGCTTTGCGCACTTGCGTTGTTAAAATCGTCTGCATTTAAAATCTCACATTCTATGCTCTTGAGATGGGCCTTGTCCAGAAATGGACTGGGAAGAACAAGAGAATGTTTGTTCTACTGGTTTGAAAAGTTAAAGAAACTATGATACATACGAAGCACAAGACTGCAAAGAGAAAAGGCAAAACAAAACCAGAGAACAAGGTCACCAAAAGCTATCCTTGCCATCACCACCGAGTTCCTATGTGACAGGAGGCCAGTCCTTTCCCCTGCCTTCAGTGTTATTTTTTGTATGTTCCTCATTTTACAGATATCTATTTAGATAATCTGCAATCCAATTTGTGTACATACTCAGCATGCCCGGTGGCAATTAGGATCTGTGCTTTAAACATATGAATGGCTTCACACTGTAAAATGCAGATGAAGACAGGACAGTATTTTAGTAACATTCCTGCCAGGTGAAGGAAATTTGTTGTTATTAATGGACTATTTAGATGTTATGGTGATAACCAGCAAAGGAAGACTCAGGAGTAACTTAATATATCTGCTCTTCAGGAAGGTTTTCACTAACACAGTTTAAGGGAAACTGGAGCTGCACAGAAAACAGAAAGTATAAAGCTAAATACTAGACAGCTGTGAACTAAATGAATACAGCACGTCTTAATGCCATGGCCCTACAAAACAAAGAATTATGTGAACACATACATTCACATAGTTAAAATATAAAGCTACAATAACTGCTGAAGCTGAGCCAGGAACACTGTGCAATCGACACCTCACACACAAAAAAGCCCAAGCTGAACAGCAAATGAAGAGATGAGGCTGTAAATAGCCCAAGAAGTGCAGTTATACCCTTACAGAAGCAAGGCAAGTCTATGCAACTCCTAAAGAAAAAAAAAAAGTCTTAAAAAATATTACAGAGACATTTTTAAATACCTGACTTCCAAACAGAAGAGGAAAAACACACCGGAAAAACACACCAACAACCCCGTCCCCCCGCGCACTCACCTTGCTGCAGTAAAGCATCCAGAGCTCATACAGCCGCTCCCGGGATGCCATTCCGTCCCTTCTGCTCCTCGTCCACACCGGCCACTGTTGTTCAAGATCCCACCATGCTCCGTCCCCAGGTGCTCTTTCCGTAGTTTTCGCTTTATTATTACTCTTATAACCCGAGAAGAAGCCAAGGATGAAAATAACAGCAGCTCAGCCTCTCCTTTTCGGGCAAACAGCACAGCGCAACCCAAG